GGGTTGTCAATAATTTGGGGGATAAACAAAATCAGCCATATTTCTAGAAAGAAGAGCGGCTCCGTCCAAAGTGGGATGGAAGCCATCTCTCCACATCAGACCAGGTTTTCCCCAGAAAGAACTCCAGTTATCTATGTAGCCCACGTCGTTGTCAGAACACCACCTGGACACCCAGCGGTTAAACAACAACATACGGCTAAACATGTCATCGCTGGTCAGGTTGGGGAGGGGGCCGGAGAAAACTACGGAGTCCGACATGGTTTTAGCAAAGTCATACACCGAAGCAACATTAATTTTAGTGACCTCAGATTGGCGTAACCGGGTGTCATTACCGCCGACGTGAATAACAATCTTACTGTATTTAGCTTTAGCCTTAGTCAGCAGTTTCAAATAAGATTCTATGTCGTCCGCTCTGGCCCCCGGAATGCATTTAACTATGGCCGCTGGAGTCCCTAAAGCTACGTTTCGGACTATGGAGCTGCCAATAACCAGGGTCTGCTTCTCAGCGGGTGTGTCACTGAGCGAGGAAAATTGATTAGAAACGTGAACGGGTCAGTGATGAACTGGGGGCTTAGCCTTAGCACCACGCTTGCTCCGGACCATCACCCAGCCGGCCTGAGGTCCCGGCTGCTCGGGGTCTGCTGGAAGACTGCTAATGGGAGCTAGCCTCTGTGGTTCCGCACTGTCTAAGGGGACCTGGCTAGCTACTGGTTTTTCTACAGCGCGGAGCCGAGCTTCCAGTTCAGACAGCCTCTCCTCCAAAGCTACCATAAGACTACATTTGTTACATGTATCATTACCACTAAAGGAGGCAGAGGAGTAACTAAACATCTGACACACGGAGCAAGTGAAAACAGAGGAAGCAGAGAGAGAAGCAGCAGCCATGATAGCAAGAGCTAGCAGAGCCAAATACACAAATAAAAACCGAGAAGTGTTGAAAGATAAGAGGTGTTTTAAACACTATCCAACAGTAGAAAAACAATTGTACTAAGTGTGTTTGTGAACTAGAATGAAAATTTTTGCAAAAGACAAATAAATCCAAAAAACAGAGATGACTCGAGCAAACAATTCACTCGAGCTACCAACAGACAAACAGGAAGTGACACAATACGTCTCACCACGAACGTGCAACGTCAGCCATGGAAACGATTCTCAACTACTTCCTAAAAGTAGCAGGCTGGCTAAACCAAAATTAGCTAAAAGCTAGATAAATTCTAAAAAAAAAAAACAAATCTGGTTGAATGATTCAAGTACAAAAAGCTAGTAAAATGTTTCAGAATGTTACAATTAGTATAAGTAGAATTAGCAGTATCAGAATTTGCATTATTAGTTGTAGAATTTATTTAGAATATTAGAGTAATATTAGAATAATATATAATTATAATAATTTAGAATAATATCATTTTGTAGAATATATTTAGAATTTAATATTAGTTGTAGAATAGAAAAGACCCATGGAGCATGTGGAGGGGTATTAAGTGTATAACAGATTATAAAGGCAGGAGTGAACAATGCCCCAAAGACCTATCATTGCCTGATGCTCTCAACAAGTTCTATGCACACTTTGAAAACCCAAACAGACCACCCAGCGCCAGACTCACCCCACCACCAGATGAAGAGCTTTTCAGTGTGACCTCAGCAGAAGTAAGGAGTACTTTCAGGAGGATTAACCCTCACAAAGCAATCGGCCCAGACAACATCCCCGGGAAGGTGTTGAAAGACTGTACCAATAAGCTTTGTGAGGTGCTGGCTGACATATTTAATTCCTCATTTACCCTGGCAACAGTTCCCACCTGCCTGAAGACTGCCACCATCATCCCAGTCCCAAAGAGCTCTATAGTGACTGGTCTGAATGACTATTGGTCAGTGGCCTTCACCCCGATAGTCGCTAAATGCTTCAAAAAACTGGTCATGACCCACATCAAAACAACCATCAACATCAACAAGGACCCTCATCAGTATGCATACGGCGAGAACCGATCAACAGAGGATGCCATCTCCTCTGTGGTCCACAGTGCTCTCACCCACCTCCGTATGCTCTTTGTGGACTTCACATCTGCCTTCAACACCATGATCCCCCAAACACTGATGGACAAACTACTCACACTAGGACTAAGCACCTCCATTTGCAACTGGGTCCTAGACTTGTTAACAAACAGACCACAGTCAGTGAAGAGCCACAACTTCTCCTCCTCCACCATAACCCTCAGCACTGGCTCCCCTCAGGGATATGTGCTGAGCCCTCTCCTGTTCACTCTGCTCATGTATGATTGTGCACCTACTCATCCAGGCTGTCATATAAAGTTTGCAGATGATACTGCGGTGGTGGGATGCATCACAAACAATGATGAGTCCAGCTACAAGCAGGAGGTGGAACACCTGGAGAGCTGGTGCAAGGAGAATAACCTTCACATCAATGTGAAGAAGACAACGGAGATGATTGTGGACTTCAGAAGGAACAAACACACCTACCCTACCTCTCCCGAAAATAAGAGGATCTGTGGTGGAAGTGGTCTCCAGCTACAAATACTTGGGTGTGCACCTGAATGACAACCTCAGCTGGGACAACAATACTACCAGCCTGATCAAGGAAGCTCATCAGAGACTGTACTTTCTCAGGCGGCTGAGGCAAGCTGGTCTGGGAAGCTCAGTCCTCACCTCCTTCTACAGGTGTGCAGTGGAGAGCATCCTGTGCTCCAGCATCAACGTGTGGCATGGAGGCTGCACAGCTGCAGAAAGAAAAGCTTTGCAGAGAGTGGTGAAGGCTGCACAGAACTCTGTTGGAGTCAGTCTCCCCACCATCACAGGCATTTACATCTCCAGATGAAGGAAGAGGCCACCTGCATCATGAAGGACCCCACTCACCCAGCACACACACTTTTTGCCCCACTTCCCTCAGGAAGGAGGTTAAGGAGCATTAAGCGTAGAACCGCTAGACTGAGGAACAGCTTCTACCCTGAACCTGTTAGACTCATGAATCTCTAACCAGAATAATCACTGTGAGAAATCACATCATGTTGCTGCTGATCTGTTTCATGTTGATGTGTTCGTTTGTGCTCATCTGCTCACACAGACTCACGTTCGCTGCTGTTCTGCGGAGTGTTTTTATGCTATTAGTGCTTTGCATATTTTTAGTTGATGTTTTTCTTAGTTCATATCTTAGAAGTTATTACTGTTTTTATTTTACATCTTATTGTTGGATGTAACTGGGACCCTGTGTACATAATTTCGTTCCACCACATGTACCACATGTGGTGCGAACGACAATAAAGCATCTCTGACTCTGAGAGGCCCTTTTTGAGCCCCCTTTTTTGAGTAAGACCGTAGCATTTCTGCTGCATTTCAGATGTTTGTCTTCAAAACAACAGCAATATTTTTCTCTGACACTGAAGCGTTTTAAATCGAGGTCTCAGAGTGTAGGTGTTTGGAAATGTCTGGCATCAATGTGAAATTGTGCATGTACACTAAGAACAGCAGCAGTTAGTAGATTTTCTGTGCAAGTATGAACAACCGTAACAATGGGAGATAGCATTAAAGTGTTTGTGCTGCTCACTCTTTTCTATGTATAAGAGTTTAATGAAATACAAAAATGACACCGCCATCTAGTGACTGGACATGAAAACTATAGAGTTACATGTTTACCCATGAAAACTGTTTACCCATGTAAACATGAAATAATTTTTTTCACAGTCAACATCAGATAAATGCTAACATGTCCAGAGATTGTTCAGGTGCAAACAGTGCCGTAGTCTCATCATTAGTATAATTAGCAAGAGTAGAATTAGTATTAGCAGTTGTAATACTAGAAAAGTATGCTCAAGTGTAGTTCAAAGAGAACAATGTTTTTGAAGGATTTCAAAATATTTTAATGTATGTTTGTAATGTAAAAGTAAAAAAAATAAAAATAAAAAAAAAATAACAGTAAAGAAGGTACTAAACCCAAAAATTAAAATGCAGCACATTTTGGTGTATGAATGGTAGATGCCAAACAAAAAAACAAGTTGTTGCTGCAAAAAACACCTCAGCTCGTGTTTAAACACAAACTCAAAAGCTTGAACAAATCTCCCTGGTGCTAGTTTTCCTTAATTGACATCCTGTTTATTTTAGTATTGTTTTTAAAGTTTTACTGATGACCTACAAGACCTTGAATAGACGGGCTCCTGGACTGTCTGTTTGACATCCTGTGCCTTCCTTGATGTCTAATGATCATTTGTGTTTAGTTGTAGTCATGGAGGTTATCAGCTCTTTAGTTGTCCTGTTTTTTGTTTTTATTGTTTTTTAGAAACATTATAATTGTTTCTATTTGTGTTTGTTTTTGTGGTGTCTTGTGTTTATTAGTCTTTTTCCTATTTGTATTGCATGCAATACTAGTACTAGTTTTTTTTTTTTTATGTGCCTTTGTGTGTTGTCTCTGTACAGGCTCACCGTCCTTGCACCCCCCCCCCCCCCCCCCCCCCCCCCCCCCCCCCCACCTTTTCTCTTTTTTTTGGTCTTTTTTTTTTTTTTTTTTTTTGTTTTTTTTTTTTTTTTTTTTACAGGCCCCCCCCCTTTCCCCCCCCCCCCCCCCCCACTGTGGAATGTCAGCATCATTATGTGCTTGTGTGCAAGGTTTTTTTTTTTCATTATCATGCTCACCTTCAACCAAAGATTAAGAGCATGTTAGGATTTTTTTTTGTCTCCAAATCCTATGTTATCACTTTCACTACTTTTATTGTCTGTCTAAACAGGTCTCACTTGTAAATGGGTCTTCGATGCTCAATGTGATTTATCTGTTTAAAGAAAGGTTGAATGAATGAAAAAAAGTTCCTATAAAAATAAATTTTATTAGATTTGATGCCATTATAGAAGCATCACACCAAGATCATGCCAGTAAATTTTTATTTAATAACAATACCCAGTGTGAAGTGATTGTATGGATGACTGTAATGTATGGAGAAGTTTTAGGAGCGGCTCTACACATATATTCAGTATTTTTTCCTAACTTGTATATTTTCTTCCAGCACTGTGACATCTGTGATAAATGTCCCTGCAAAGAAGGAGATAACTCTGAACACTGTGATGATTGTAAGGTGAGAAGAGACATGTGTGTCCTCCTTTGTGTCCTCCTCAAGCAGCAAAGACGAAGTCTGAACTTCATGAGTTTTGTCATGTGACAGCCATCATGGCTGCTAACTGATGCTATTGTTCCCAAATACTTTTTAATTACAAATATTAATTTTGAAATACAACCTTTTCTATCCAATGGTCAAAAACACTCTTAAAATATTTTAAATGGTTTGATTTTTTTTTTATAAAGTACCAAAAAATTTAGTTACTGACAAACACTAACAAATTAATGATAAGGTTTTTTTACATTTTAAAACTAGCAAAATTAAATTAAAATGCCTGAATTAAATGACTACATTAAAATGACTAAATTAAAATGACAAAGTGACTAAATTAAAATGACTAATTCTTTAAATTTTTCTACACTGAATTTCAAAATGTTTACGATTTATGAGTTATATATTTGTGAAGTAAAATTAAAAGAGGTTTTTAGTTCCCACACCAACAGAAAAACAATTTTCAATGGTGTCCATTATCTGTAAAAGGCATGATTCAGATTCTAATCTGAGTAGTGTTTTTGAAACTATGGTAAAGAGATAAAGATAAAGTCTTCCTTCCCACCTATATGTTGTGTACTATTAGGTTGTAAGTAATATTATTTTACAAATTCAGATTTAATTTAAAAAATATACAAGTGAGTTGGTGAGTACCTGCAATACTTTTGCACTATTCTGTAATATAATATACTTTGTCACAATTTCACTCATTGATCAATTCTACTTGTCCCTTTTAAAATGAGGCTTTATGACTTTGGCTCTGATTCTTCTGTCTCTGAAGCAGCAAACTGGGCTGGTGTCTACAGCTGCTTAGAGACTACAGGACCACAAAGGTGTCACATTTAGGTGGCAGGCCAACAAACTATTTGCAAAGCATCCATTTATTTTTACACAGCCTAGTTCATAACTATATTTTGTGAAATGAAAAATACATATCAGTCAAAAAAGTAAAAAAAAAAAAAAAATAGGTGTTGTACAGGTGCTGGTCATAAAATTAGAATATCATGAAAAAGTTGATTTATTTCAGTAATTTCATTCAAAAAGAGAAACTTGCATATTATATTCATTCATTACACACAGACTGATATATTTCAAATGTTTATTTCTTTTAATGTTGATTATTATAACTGACGACTAATAAAAACCCCAAATTCAGTATCTCAGAAAATTAGAATATTAATTAAGACCAATAAAAAAAGGATTTTTAGAAATGTTGGTCAACTGAAAAGTATGAACATGAAAAGTATGAGCATGTACAGCACTCAATACTTAGTTGGGGCTCCTTTTGCCTGGATTACTGCAGCAATTTGGCATGGCATGGAGTCGATCAGTCTGTGGCACTGCTCAGGTGTTATGAGAGCCCAGGTTGCTCTGATAGTGGCCTTCAGCTCTTCTGAATTGTTGGGTCTGACGTGGCCATCGCTCTGGGAGGAGTTCTGCCCAGCATTTGGGCAGTCCTACAGCCCGAGGGGAACCGAGAGGCCAGCCGAGTCTGGGTGGATGGATCAGACGGCATCTGCAGCCAGTTTCTTAGGATCCACTGTGGGATGGACCTTTACAAGAGATCCTTCCTGTCTACAGCCATCAGTGTCTATAACATCTCTTAATGAAATGAGGATAATGAGTTACAACAACAAAATAATTTCCCTCTGGGATTAATAAAGTATTTTTGAATTGAATTGAATCACATCTTCCTCTTCACAATTAACCCCATAGATTTTCAATGGGGTTAAGGTCAGGCGAGTTTGCTGGCCAGTTAAGAACAGGGATACCATGGTCCTTAAACCAGGTACTGGTAGCTTTGGCACTGTGTGTAGGTGCCAAGTCCTGTTGGAAAATGAAATGTGAATCTCCATAAAGTTGATCAGCAGCAGGAAGCATGAAGTGCTCTAAAACTTCCTAGTAGACGGCTGCATTGACCTTGGACCTCAGAAAACACAGTGGACCAACATCAGTAGATGACATGGCACCCCAAACTATCACTGACTGTGGAAACTTGACACTGGACCTCAAGCAACATGGATTATGTGCCTCTCCTCTCTTCCTCCAGACTCTGGAACCTTGATTTCCAAAGGAAATGCAAAATTTACTTTCATCAGAAAACGTAAGTTTGGACCACTCAGCAGCAGTCCCAGGCGAGACGCTTCTGACACTGTCTCTTGTTCAAGAGTGGCTTGACACAAGGAATGTGACAGCTGAAACCCATGTCTTGCATACGTCTGTGCATGGTGGTTCTTCAAGCACTGACTCCAGCTGTAGTCCACTTTTTGTGAATCTCCCCCACATTTTGGAATGGGTTTTGTTTGTCAATTCTGTCCAGGGTGCGGTTATCCCTATTGCTTGTACACATTTTTTTTTACCATGTCTTTTCCTTCCCTTCGCCTCTCTATTAATGTGCTTGGACACAGAGCTCTGTGAACAGCCAGCCTCTTTAGAAAAGACCTTTTGTGTCTTGCCTTCCTTGTGCAAGGTGTCAATGGTCATCTTTTGGACAACTGTCAAGTCAGCAGTCTTCCCCATGGTTGTGTAGCCTACAGAACTAGACTGAGAGACAATTTAAAGTCCTTTGCAGGTGTTTAGAGTTAATTAGCTGATTAGAGTGTGGCACCAGGTGTCTTCAATATTGAACCTTTTCACAATATTCTAATTTTCTGAGATACTGAATTTGTGGTTTTCATTAGTTGTCAGTTATAATCATCAACATTAAAAGAAATAAACATTTGAAATATATCAGTCTGTGAGTAATGAATGAATATAATATACAAGTTTCACTTTTTGAATGCAATTACTGAAATAAATCAACTTTTTCTTTCATGATATTCTAATTGTATGACTAGCACCTGTATATTGGTCACCACCTTCCCTGATTAATATAGATCAGTATCACAATCAGCTATAGACAACTCATACTGATGGACCTTTAGTTTGCAGATAGTTACCAATATATTCAGTTTAGCACACCAGCTGCCTTATTATACTGTATGCAGATGACTTCCTTTGCTCATATATTGTTGTATGCAGATGACTTCCTTTATTCAAAGTGCATCTTTTCACAGTCTGCATCTTATATTGTTATATGCAGATGGATTCCTTTTCTCATATTGGCATCTTCACTCTCAAACCCAAGGTTTTTATTTAAAAATAAGTCAAGCTGAATGTGCCAGCAGTCCAGTCTTCTCTATTTTAATCATTGACAATTATACATTATTAACAAGTTGATATTCATTTAGCACTGGCCCTTACAGTCAATAAACCCAACCATCCCACTGGGACCTTTCCCAGTGCTTCAGACTGATTACTCGAGACCTGCTTTAAGGGGATTTTTTTTCTTATTATCTACATTTATCTACAGTAAGTTACGTCTGTATATAATCCATCGATCCATCATATATTTTTTATAAAGGTAGAGTATGGTGGGGTTGTAACTTTTTGGACAACCTGTCTCGGACTAATTCATTATTAAACATTAGAGAGAGGCAGCCCTTCCCACTACACATCCAGCCTATCACATATGTCTACTCTGTGGAGGTACAGACAAAGATGCTACATTTATTTTGTCTCTTTCTTTTTCACAGATGTGCAGTTTCTGCCATGTTTGTCCTGTATGTGAAACAGTTTGCAAGCCTGGTGAGTACATTAATTTAAAGCTAATCACAGCAGCAGCTTCAATAGTCACTAAAATAAAGTTTTGTTGTTGCTCATTTTACTCAGTCATCTGGTAATAATATAATTTAAATTGGGGTCAAAGCCAAAGTTAGAAAAATAAATGAGCCAGTAGATGGTTGTCTATCCAGGTCCTGGCCTTCTAATTCTGGTCCCTGTTAATTGGGAGTCATTTCTTTCCACTGTTACCCCATGTTTACTCAGGTCAGACATTACACTGAAAGGAAAAACTTGGTTTAGTCCATTAGCCTCTTTAGATTTTTTTTTTTTTTTTTTTTACTGATTGGCATTTGGTAATGTAGTGAATCTGACTGCATTTTCTACCACCGTGGGCAAAGCAACAACAATGTATTTGCCAATGTGTGTGTTTGTGTGTCCTTTTGACGTGTTCTTGTTGTTTTGTCTATATTTTGTACTTGTAAAGCACCTTGAGTTGCCCCCTGATAAGAAATGTGCTGTATAAATAAATATAAATAATTTGCCTTGCCTTGATAGAAGTTGAGCATCATGTCCAACACATACTTTAAGTGCAAAGTATTGTTTAAACCCATTACTTTAAGTTTTGGATTTAAACCTGTTTATCTGTTAGCAAAATATCTCATAAACCAGAAGATGGTTTCTATTGAGAACCTGATATTTTCTGTACATCTATCTATCAATCAACAGACTGACAGCTGCAGACAGTTCAGTTCAGTTCAAGATGGCTGCCACAATAATTAAACTTAAAAGATGTATATAGCTCAGTGAATTTTCCAAATATGTCTTCTTCTTCTGCTTTCGGCTTTTCCCTCTTCAGGGGTCGCCACAGCGAGTCATCCTCCTCCACCTCACTCTGTCCTCTGTATCCTCTGTCCTCACTTCAACTACCTTCATGTCCTCTCTAACTGCATCCATATATCTCCTCTTTGGCCTTCCTCTTTGTCTTTTTTCCTGGCATCTGCATTTCTAACATCCTTCTACCAATATACCCACGGTCCCTCCTCTTGACATGTCCAAACCATCTCAGTCTGGCCTCCCTAATTTTATTTCCCAGTTGTTCAACATGTGCTGTACCTCTGATGATCTCATTCCTAATCGTATCCATCCTCGTCACTCCTAAGGAGAACCTCAACTTTATTTTTGCCACTTCCAGTTCTTTCTCCTGTCTTTTTGTCAGTGATGCTGTCTCCAGACCATACATTATAGCTGGTCTCACCACTGTCTTGTAAACTTTTCCTTTGACTTTTGCTGACACCTTTTTGTCACAAATCACCCCTGAAACTTTTCTCCATCCATTCCATCCTGCCTGGACTCTCTTTTTCACTTCTTTACCACATTCCCCATTTTCCTGGACAGTGGATCCCAAGTACTTGAAGTCCTGCACCTTTGTGACTTCTGCTCCTTGTAGTCTCACTGTTCCACTGGCCTCCCTCTCATTTACACACATGTACTTTGTCTTACTACAGCTGACTTTCATTCTTGTTCTTTCAAGTGCATACCTCCACCTCTCCAAGTTCTCTTCCACCTGTTCCCTGTTCTCACCACAGATCACAATGTCATCTGCAAACATCATAGTCCACAGGGATTCCTGCCTGACCTCATCTGTTAGACGGTCCATCACCAGAGCAAACAAGAAGGGGCTCAAAGCTGATCCTTGATGCAATTCCACCTCCAACTTGAAGCTATCTGTCACTCCTACAGCACATCTCACCACTGTCCTGCTGTCCTCATACATGTCCTGTTCCAGTCTAACATACTTTTCTGCCACTCCAGATTTCCTCATGCAATACCACACTTCCTTTCTTGGCACTCTGTCATATGCTTTTTCTAAATCCACGAAGCCACAATGGAGTTCTTTCTGACCCTCTCTGTACTTCTCCATCAGCATTCTCAAAACAAAGATTGAACATATTCGTCTTTCTTGGCATGAAACCATACTGCTGCTCACAGATAGTCACCTCTTGTCTAAGTCTTGCTTTTACAACTCTCTCCCAGATCTTCACCATGTGGCTCATACACTTAATTCCCCTGTAGTTGCTACGACATCACCCTTGTTCTTAAAAATGGGCACCAGCACACTTCTTCTCCACTCCTGAGGCATTTTCTCGCCCTAATATATACCATGGAATATTTGAGTCAAAAACCTCACTGCCATCTCTCCAAGACATTTCCAAACCTCCATTAGTATGTCATCCGGTCCTACTGCCTTCCCCTTCTTCATTCTTTTCAGAGCTTTCCGGACTTCACCCTCACTAATCTTTTCTACTTCCTGGTCCACAGTCTCCATGACCTCTACTCTTCTTTCTCTTTCATTCTCTTCATTCATTAGCTCCTCAACGTACTCCTTCCAACTTTCAGTCACACTCTCCTCACTTGTTAGAACATTACCATTCCTATCTTTAATAAGCCTAACCTGCTGCACATGCTTTCCAGCCTGATCCCTCTGTCTTGCCAATTGGTACAAGTCCATCTCGCCCTCTTTAGTGTCCAGTCTCCCATTCAACTCATCCTACACCCTCTGCTTTGCCTTAGCTACTTCCCTCTTTGTTCTACGTCCCATCTCCTTATATTCCTGTTTCCTCTCTTCAGTCCTCTCACTGTCATATTTCTTCTTGGCTAATCTCTTTCTTTGAACGGCGTCCTGCACTTCACTATTCCACCACCAGGTTTCCTTATCATCCATTCTCTGTCCAGATGACACACCAAGTACCTTCCTACCTGTCTCTCTAATTACTGTTGCTGTAGTAGTCCAGTCATGTGGAAGCTCTTTCTTACCATCCAAAGCCTTTAACAGCTCCTCTTTGAATTTCTCACAACATTCTTCCTTCTTCAGCTTCCACCATTTGGTCTTCTTCTCTGATTTTACTCAATTTCTCTTCTTTACAACAACAGTCATTCTACACACAACCATCCAATGCTGTCTGGCCACACTCTCCCCTGCCACAACCTTACAGTCTCCAATCTCCTTCAGGTTTCCTCTTCTACACAGAATGTAGTTGACCTGCGTACTCCTTCCTCCACTCTTGTAGGTCACTCTATGTTCCTCCCTCTTTTGGAAATAGGTATTGTCTATAGCCATTTATATTCTCTTGGCAAAATCTACCACCATCTGTCCTTCCTGGTTTCTTACCTTGACACCAAACCTACCCATCACTTCCTCATCCCCTCTGTTTCCTTCACCAACATGTCAATTCAGGTCTGCTCTGATCACTACTCTCTCCTCCCTGGGAATACTCTCTATCACATCATCCAGATCTTTCCAAAATGTATGTTTTGCCTCCCTATCACTTCCAACCGGTGGAGCATAACCACTGACGATGTTTAGCATCAGACCTTCTACTTCTACCTTGCGGCACATCACCCTATCTGACACTCTCTTCACCTCTACTACTTTGCCAACTCCTCCTTTAGGACCACCCCTACTCCATTTCTCTTTCTATCCACACCATGGTAAAACAGTTTGAACCCTGCTCCAATGCTGCAAGCCTTGCTGCCCTTCCACTTGGTCTCTTGGAAACATAGAACATCTACCTTCCTTCTCTGCATCATGTCAGCCAGCTCTCTATTGTTGCCTGTCATTGTCCCCACATTTAGAGTTGCAACCCTCAGTCCTACATTCTTCACTTTCCTCTTTTCCCTCTGTCTCCTGACCCATTTCCCTCCTCGTGGTCTTTGACTAACAGTAGCACAATTTCCGCTGGCACTCTGTTTGTCAACAGCACCGGTGGCAGTCGTTGTTAACCCGGGCCTCGACCAATCCGGTATGGTTTCGCTTTGATGAACTCGCATTATGGTTTTGACAAAAGTGTTTTACATCAAATGCCATTCCTGACACAACCCTCACCATTTACCCGGGCTTGGGACTGGCACAAGAGATACACTGGCTTGTGCTCCCTAGTGGCTGGTTTCAATTTTCAATTTTATAAATGTGTGTTGAACCAAATTTGGTGTTGCTGACTTTTAAGTCAAAACGAACTCCCGAGTGTGACACGTTGTAATATCACTTCACATTATGTTTAAAACGCCTACAACTCTGTCATTTTTCATCTTTTCATCATTTCTCTTCAGGAGGATTTGTTGACGAAGTCACTGGATCCATCTACAAGTAAGTCTTAGTTACACACATCTAAATCCTGTGGAAGTAGGTTTGAACTAGTTTGTAAAGCGCCGTTTTCTCCCCCCACAGGACTGTAGCTGATGTCTTTGACGACGACGATGCCAACTAAAGCCAACCATATGTTGCCACCATGTGGCCAAACTAAGAATTACACTTCTGATCTGTGTTGTCTTAATCTTTGATCCTCGGGAACCTTAAACAAAGTTTAAGGTTTAAGTGATGCCCAGATATATTTGTGTACTGTTAATGCCTGACAAGTTATACTTTTAAAGAAACTCAAATCTTCAAACTTCTGGATTATGTTAAATAAAAAGTGGGGACATTTTCACTGATCTTTGTGTTGGTTCTTTAAATGCTCAACAGTCTGAGGCCTGTTTATCTGCTGGAACAAACATGCACACCAAGTTCAGTGTGTTGGATCATTCTGCATTCTTTCTACATTAGAGGTCAATTGTTCTTATCGCATCACTTAAAATTGGCCTTCAGACACAGGACAGCATCTACAGAAGAAACGGAGTGAGAAGAATTTGTTTTCTCACAGTGAGCACCAGCTCCAGATGGTGCTGTTTAAACAGCATGAATAACACACGACTGCAAGGAGGAGCTGTGTTCAGGATGGTGTTCCTTAATCAACAAGTGGTACACACACTGATGTCCCTCATCACTGACAGATTTTAATAGTAAATAATTGTAGTTTTGGTAATTAGTGTTTTTCTGGACTGGAAATGAACAGGGAATGTAAGTAAACATATTTTTTGGTGCAAGATATTCAAGTGAGTAGGAGTTACACGGTGGAGAACAATAGAGGTACAGTGCGTGTTTTTTTTTCATGTCTTAGGCAGCGCAGAGTGACGAATCCTGGCGATTGGAGCTGGATCTATTTGAGGTCCTCTGCAAAGCCACCCAACTGGGAGAAGGGGTATCCTTACTCAACCAGAATACCAGAGCTCTGATATTAGCTGCCCAGTAATAGTGCATGAAATTAGGAAGTGGCATGCCTCCAAGCCTGTGGGGCAGATGTAAGACCCTCTTGAAAATCCATGAATGCTTTTTATTCCAAATAAACACTGATAGCTGGCTGTTCGGATTGCAGAAGAGTGATTTAGAAAGGAAAATTGTCAGGTTCTGAAACAAATACAAACATTTAGGTAGAACATTCAATTTTACAGAGTTTATTCTTCCCCTCAGAGAATGAGGTAGGGATTGTCATCTAGCAATGTCCTGCTTAAGGTTTGCCATGAGAAGTAGACAATTAGTTTTATAAATGTTCTGATCTTGTGTTACCCAAATGCCAATGTATTTACATTTTTAAAACAAATTTTAAAAGGTAAAGTGTCCAATTTTTTTTTTTTTCTATAGAGGTCACAGGCATCAGCTCCTTGTTTTGAAGATTAACCTTATAGGCAGATCCAACAATTTTCAGTCAGGTCATCTGGACAGTTTCTTTTATTGCTGAACGTTTCACCTTCCATCCGGAAGGCTTCATCAGTCAAGGAAACACACAACACAAAACTGATTCTTCCCCCAAACAGCTTACTCCAAAGTGGAACAAACCAATTATATTGGTGCTAAGATGGTGTCTTTGGCATGCCCCCTCCTCCGATGCCAGCCCTCTTCCTCATCGACAGTCATGTCAAACTGGTTCAAACCCAAAAAAGTCCATGCTCAATAATCCAGGTATACAATCCAACAATTTTCAGTCAGGTCATCTGGAAAATTTCTTTTTTTGTTGAACGTTTCACCTTCCATCCAGAAAGCTTCATCAGTCAAGAAAACACACAACACAAAACTGATTCTTCCCCCAAACAGCTTACTCCAAAGTGGAACAAACCAACTATGTTGGTGCTAAGATGGTGTCTTTGGCACGCCACCTCCTCCGATGCTGGCCCTTTTCCTCGTTCCAGATGGAAGGTGAAACGTTCAGCAAAAATAGAAACTGTCCAGATGACTTGACTGAAAATTGTTGGATTGTATACCTGGATAATTGAGCATGGACTTTTTTTCTTATATGCAGTAGGGGTTGAACGAGTATATAATTTTAAAACTCGACATTAACATAATAAAACCCGAGTAGAACTCGAGTATTTGATGACGTCATAGATCTCAAGATACAAAAATAAATAAATAAAACCGCAAAAAAAGGTAATTATTTACTAAAAAAAAGACCAACAAAACATTGGGAGCGTATATTATTGTTGATATTTTCTGGGTTGTTAATATAAAAGTTTGATATGTTTACTCAATTTACAGTTTACTTTATAATGATAATTAAAAGGTTTGCCTGCAGTTTTAGCTCTGAGTCTCAGAAAGGATCAGTACATTTTGGAAATGGAAACATTGATACCAGTTTATTTTTCTCATCAAGTTTATCATCACACTTATTAGTCATTTTCTTTATATCACACTCTGTTAAAGCTCATCAGCTAAATCCCTTCAGCATCAGTGTGTGAAGCTCTGTAACTTCCGTTTCTCAAACCCAGCTCCAGAACCAGTCACTGACCACAAACGTACTGTCTGTTTTTTCTCTGATAAGATTGCAAATGAGGTAATGGCTGTTGTGTCAAAGCAAGATCTGTTACATGTGAAGATATATAAATGAAGCTGCATTGCTCATGTTTTTTAGAGAACACACAGAACTCACTGAGCTGCATTTCCGTTCCATGTGTTCTCTCCTTCTGCAGAAGAGAAATAAACCTTGCGATGTGTTCTTTAAACAAAGTTCTCAGTCTGCAAAATTTTACTGAACAACAAAGTTTGATAAAACTCCACAATTTGGCATCACGAAAAGGGTCCTTTGCTGGTCCGTCCACTCGGTGGGACCCAGGACGGTGGCTGATCACCAAGAATCACAGGATTCTTCCTCTAAACCTCTGTTAGTCTTTGAGAGCGAGGGGACGTTATGGTTTTCCATCGGGAGGATTCGACCTTGACAGAATTCGAAACAGACTGAGAACTTTTGGCTGAGACAAACAACTACTTAAGGTAAACTGAAAAACTTTTTAATATATAACAAAGTAGGTTTTAATCATTTAAAACTGAGGTAGATTTTGTATAAAATCAAGGCAGGTCCCTCTAAAAGGACTGAGAAATAAAATAGTAGGTTTTAGTCATTTAAAACTGAGGTAGATTTGTGAATCCAAATCCAGGTAAGTCAATAGAAAGAGACTGAGCGATAAAACGTAAGCAGGAAATAGTAAAACAGAGGATTACATTCCTTGCAGTCCAGAAGCTGACTGGATGCGCAGAATACATGGAGATCCATGTCTCAGTTTTATTTCACAGTGGCATTCTAAATTTAATTTTCAAAAAAATGGTTCTTTTGACCCCAAAGAAATTAAAAAATTAGAAGAACAGTTGTTAAGATAGTTACTATTAAGTGTTCTATTAGAGAAGACTTATACACTTATGCATGCTCACAACCACGCACAAATAGATGCAGGGATGCTTATGTAGGCTTTATATGTAGATATATAGATATGAGAATGAGGTTGGGATTGTGTGATTGTGTCTGTGTATGAATGGGTATTTGTTAGGCCGAGACTCGGACTGACCCCTCTTTGATACAACTGGGGGTGCTTGGCATCGCGCCCCTATTGCGCGGCCCCCTGGTGGGGTATGCCCTTGCCTGCCGGCGCGCTTGGGGCCCTTGGTGTCAGGGGCTGGGCGCTTGGGCGTGTGTCGGCTTGGCCTGGTGTCTGCCTGGTGGGGCTCAGGTCCTCTGGCCCTGTCGGGCCTTGACCTAGGTGGTGTGAGTCCACGGTGCCCGGGCCTCTGTGCCCGGGCCTGGACCTACATCGGTGCGGCGGGTGCCGACTGAGGCCTATGAGTTTGTCGCTGTTGGCCCCGGGGGGTCACTGTATGTGGTCGCTGGTGGGGATCTTCCGGTTCTCCCCTGTGGTCCGATCTGGGGGGTGGGTGAGTGGTTCGTCCTGTGTGGGTGGCCCTGGGGGCTCCGCGGTCGGGGTCCCTCCTGGGGTCTTGGGCTCTGGTCCCCCCTTTTTCGTCTGTCTCTGGTCTTGGGGGTTGGGTCTCTGCTGCTTCACAGTTACTATTAAATGTTCTATTAGAGAAGGCTTATACACTTATGCATGCTCACAACCACACACAAATAGATGCAGGGATGCTTATGTAGGCTTTATATGTAGATATATAGATATGTATATGAATGTATATTCATGTGTACGTATGTATGTATATAGGCGTAGGTATGGGTATATATATTTATGGAAACTTACTGCAAAGCCATGAATATTTTAAGTTCTTTATACATATGTATTTTGTTGCTGTGTTTTGTCATGTTCTTTGCAGGTGAACAGACAGTGGCCGGGTGTTTTGCCGTGTGCTCTCTTTGTGTATATTTCTTATATTTTGGAGTCTTAATTTGTCTTTTCCTTCTTTCTATCGTATTATAAAAAATAAAAAAAAATCACATGGATTGCTCGCTGGTGCTGGGAGGTGATCTTAACTTTGGTCTAGATAACAAAATAGACAGGCTGAATGCAGTAGGAGCTCAACGCAGTTGGCAATCCATAAATGTAGTTAAACAGTACATGAGTGATTATGGACTCTGCGATGCATGGCGGTCTCTTTACCCTAATAGTAAAGAGTATTCTTTCTTTTCACATGTGCATCACTGTTACTCTCGTTTGGATTATTTTATAATCAGCAACTCATTGCTGACCAACATTTCAGACACTAAGATACACCCTATTGCTGTCAGCGATCATGCACCAGTTACTTTATTTTAGATAATAAGAAAGAAATCCCCAAAAGTATAAACTGGAGATTAAATACCTCACTGCTTATGGACGAAGAATTTATACAATACTTTAAAAATGAATGGACATCGTATTTAGAGTTTAATGACTTGCCAGGTACATCAGCATGTACACTCTGGGAGGCTGGGAAAACAGTTATGAGAGGGAAAATAATATCCTACGCAACAAACAAAAAGAAAAAAGAAAATAAACGTATTGAGGAATTAGAGAAATCTATCAAATTATTAGAAAGTTTACAAGGAGAGGAAACACAGAAAAAACTTTGCAAGATAAAATTTGAACTAAATGAATGTATTGACAAAAAAAAACAAATTCTTGGTACAAAGACTTCGCTTAGAACATTTTGAACACAGTAATAAATCAGGTAGCTTTTTAGCTAATCAACTCAAATTAAATAAAGAAAAAACATCTATATATGGTATTAAAGACACAAATGGTAATATAACTTATGACGAAGAAAAAGTAAATAGTGTTTTTAGAGATTTCTATAAAACTCTATACACTCCACAAATAAATCCAACAGATGAAGATATTAATC